TATTAAAAATAAGAATTAAAATTAAATTCAATAAAATAAATTAAATATTTGAATTCCTGAGCAAATTTTATTTTTTATGAAAGTAATAATACAAAAATTAATAAAAATTAAAATTTATAAAATTACAAATTCAACTGTTTTGAAAAAAATTTAGTTCATTGGAGGAATTTAATTAAAATTGTACTGAAAATAATTCAATTCATCTGAAGAGTTTATCACAATTTTTAAAAAATAAATGAATTCTAATAACAAATTTTGTTAAACTTTTAAAAAATAATTAAATTTCATCAAGAAATTTTATTCAAATTGCATTGTAAATAATTGAATTTTCTCGAAGAATTTTATAACTTATAGAAGTAACTGAAATCTGCGATGAATTTTATTAAAATATTATTTTAAGTAATTATTGAATTCTTTCAAGAATTTTGTTAAAATTTTAAAAATTAATTGCATTTTTCAAGGAATTTATTAAAAATTGTATTAAAAATAATTTAAATCCAACGTTGAGTTTTATTAATATTATAAAAATAATTAATTTTTGAAACGAATTTTACTTAAATTTTTTGAAAATAATTGAATTCTCACGAAGAATTTGATAAAAATCTTTTTAAATAATTGATTTTTTTGAAAATCGTGTTTTAAAAAATTGTATTTAATTTCGAAAATTTTTTGAAAATAACTGAATCATTTGAGAGAATTTTATTTTATATTTTGTTAGATGAATATCTGAGTTTATTGGTCATAATATTATCGTATGAATTTTATTTCCTTCTAAATTATTATTAATTGAAATTAGCACTTTTTTGGAAACGTTATTATTCAAAACTATTACATATTAGATATTACTACTTACCAGACACGTAGGGGAGAGTAGGCTACATTGAACCAGCGTCAACAGTGAACCACTTCAATTTTCTGAGAAATGACTGAGTGAAATTTTTTCTTATTCAATATACATATATGTTAGTTTTACCGAAGCAGACTATGTTCAAAAATTTCCGGCACGTAGGTTTATTATTTACAAAGAAAAACTAAAAAAAACTGTTTTTCACGTACAAAACAAAAAAATTGGTGGAATTATAATGACGTTTTTTTATTGAAATAGGAAGTTTTAAAAATTAGTAAACTTGTGATTTATTTCGCTTAGGGTGTCAACTTCAATATTCCGAAGTGATAAAGAATTTTAAACCTTACATAAATTTATTATAAATAATTGTTGTTGTAAATGTCATGTGTATACAGTGAGTGCGACATCATTGAACCACCCGAAAAAGCAAAGAATTTTCAATTTTAAGAGTTGTAAAGTTGTCTGCTCTACTAATTAGTAAGAAAAATACTGGAAGACATGCTTTCATCACAATTGTGAACGAGATAAATTTAAACTGTCACTTTTGCTACCTAACCTGACATCGAAATATATTAATCTCCTATATTAACAAATAATAACTATTTAACAACAATTTTATATTTTTTTGAGTGGAAAATAAGATTTTTTACAATGTGTAAGTGGAAATATTATTTTCGAAGTAAATTGTAGTGTTTTATTAGAGGTGGTTCAATGTAGACACACATCCTTCAAAATAAGAAAAGCGTAGCTGGTTAGAAAAAAATTAAATTTCATTATTTAATCATAATAATTTGTGTTTGTAACGTGTGTATTAACTAGAGGAGTACTTCAGTTTTATTGACATACAAAAACCTGATCAAAATTTGTAAAATTTAATTAGTTCTTGGACTTTATAAAAAATCTGGTTCAATGTAGCCTACTCTCCCCTAAATCAATTTATTCTTATTGTAGATTTGATATAATTATTTATTCTATTGAAAGATACTTATAAGGGTTAATACCACTTTACACACTTGAAAATGAAGCTATTTTCTAGAATTTTTTTATGATTCTTATGGATTATATTGATCTGCATCTTTTTTAGTTCAATAAATGGGGCATTCCACGCCAAATCGGAAATTATTTTGCTTTTGCATCTCAAATTTTTTTTAAACATTTTTTTTCTTTTAGTACTCTTTGAAATGAGCTACCTTGATTCTTTTCAAATTTTTTCATAAAGCGGTTCAGGAGATACAGATTTTTGAAAAATGACATTTTTTACGTAAATTTTTTTTTAAATGCTTATAACTCGGTCAAAAATTGATCAAATTGGACGTTTTTATAATGAAAAGTTTTGTTTTCACGCGTAGTTTTTAATAAAAATATTTTTTTTTAATTTTAAAATAATTTACGATAAGATTTAAAAATTTTTTAAATAAAATTTCATTTTTAACAATGTATGTATCGATCAATTTTTTTCAAAATTTTTTGTAAGAAACTAGCATTAAATTAACAACTTTAAAGCCTTGTCCGATCGTGGGCAAACGATGGGATCTATTTATTTTAAAATTTTTAATTTTTACATACGCAGTGGTGGCCAAATGGCTCACTTGCCATTTGACAAAATCACACAAAATTTTCACAGAAAATGTGTTTTCAGACTAAGTCTCTACAAACTTAACCTTCTTTCTGCGTGTAAAACTGAGATTGGACATTGTTAAAAATGAAATTTTATTTAAAAACTTATCGTAAATTATTTTAAAATTAAAAAAAAAATATTTTTATTAAAAACTACGCGTGAAAACAAAACTTTTCATTATAAAAACGTCCAATTTGATCAATTTTTGACCGAGTTATAAGCATTTAAAAAAAAAATTTACGTAAAAAATGTCATTTTTCAAAAATCTGTATCTCCTGAACCGCTTTATGAAAAAATTTGAAAAGAATCAAGGTAGCTCATTTCAAAGAGTACTAAAAGAAAAAAAATGTTTAAAAAAAATTTGAGATGCAAAAGCAAAATAATTTCCGATTTGGTGTGGAATGCCCCAAATACAATCTTTAACTTTATAAAAAACCTTATTTTATTTAAAAAAATATTATTTGATTATTTAAAATTTAACAATGCTTTTAAACCTGCTAAAAGTACCGAAGCCAGCTGCGTAATTGATTTCTCCGGTTAGAAAAATCGGAAACATAAAATTCAAGTTGATTTATGTTCAGTAGGACTGTGTTTATCACCCGAACTAGAATTTTTAATTTTTATGCTAAAATAACAAAATGGCGGGAATTTAAACAAAGATTTTCAAAAATTAAGGTTTTTTTGGCAGTTTTTCAGTTAAAAAAAATAGTAAAAATTAATATTTTAAAATAATTCTAGTTCTGCGATACCCACACATGTGACGAAGATTTTCGTAAAAAATTTTGAGAATTGGTCCAGTAGTTTCCGAGAAAAACATTACGCAGCATGCAAAAAAGTGGTTTTCAGAAAAACGCATTTAAACTCCTACCTGACTGGAACTATCCCTTTCGGTCGAGCGCTCGGCGAGTTCTTCTTCCCATCCGCTCATTTACATAGCCCGTGTACGTGCTCAAATAGCACTGCAAAAAATATATTTTGAGTGCTGGGATCTTTCTAAAAATTTTACACCACATTTTTGATATGTTTTACTTTCGAAATCCGTAATAAAAAAAAATTTGATTTTTTGAAATTGACAAAGTGGTATGAACCCTTAAATTGAATTTAAAAATTTTGTATTAAAAAATTTTCTGAATTTTCTACGCTTGCAACTTTTTTCTGGAAGCTTTAATAAATTTGGGGTGTTGCACATATTTTAGTATTTATACAATAAATATGTGCAAAAATCCAAATTTTTTTAAGCTTCCCGAAAAAAGTTACAAGTTTCGATAAATTTTGAAAAATTTTTTTACGAAAAAATTAATATAAATAGAATAATTAGGTATATAATAATAAAAAATTTATGTTTCTGGTATGTAATAATATCAATTATTTTGATACTTTTAATAAATAATAATGAGAAAGGAAATGAAATTTACACGATAATATTATGACCAATAAACTCTGATATTTATCTAGTTTTGCATATATTAAACTAGATTTTTTAAAAATATGCTAGCAACCACTCTCAGAAGATTTTTAGTGGATTGATGACCCTCTTTCATATTGCAGGGCTCGAACTAGGTCCGTAAATCCCGTAAATTTGCTTGAAGTTCATAAAAGTCCATTTTCTTAAGAAAAAGGTCCGTAAAGTCCGTAATTTGATTGAGAAAAGACGAAAAGTTCGTAAATTCTACGATATAATTTGGAGAATTTTAGAGAAATTACAAATGATTACAGAAATTCAATTATTTTCAAAAGTAATAAAATTTTGCGCTGAAATCTTCATTTTTCATACTTGTAACTAACAATTCTGAGCAATTAGTTATTTTGAAAAAGTTTAATTGCGGAACTTTATTCAAATTCGTCGAAAGAATTCAATTATTTAAAATTTTTTTGACAATATTCCTTATGGAAAATGAATTTTAAGAAACATTAAAATTGTTCAATAAATTATTTATTTTTGTATGTAAATAATTGAGGAGCTTGAATATTTAGAAATAATTGAATTTTGAAATTAATTTTTTTGAAAAAGTTTAATTGAATTTTTTTTATATTATTTTAAGTTTTTATTTTCTAATATATATTTAATTGAAGAATTTACGAATAATTGTAATTTCGTAAAATTGAATTGTAAAAAAATTAATTTGAAAATTATCAAAGATCTTTATCAAAAATTATTTATAAAAGAATTTTAGTTAAAAATTCTTGAAAATAATAATTAAATTGATAATGATTTTATCACTCGGTCATAATTAATTATTATAAAACATGAAGAAATCGATAAGTCCGAGTCTCCGACTCGGAGTTATCGATATCTTCATGTTTTATAGTTAAAGAAAAATTGAATTTATAGTTTTAAGTTAAATGTTCTCTTATTTGACTCTGACTGGTTATATTTTTGTCAGTAATTGGTCCGTAAAGTCCGCATTTTTAAATACTTTCACTGGTTCGAGCTCTGTAATATTGTCCCGTCAATTTTTTCCAAGAGAAATTTTTGTGTTCTTGCGTAATGACTTCTTTACTTTTAAAATTTAAAGTTTTAAAAATATTAGGTACCTAAAAATAAATTAATCGTGTGCTGCTTTTCTTGATCACTGAAAGTATTACTGTAATACCTGCTCAAAGTTTGCATAATATCATTTCCTTGACTAGTCCATGGAGCAGTTTTACTAAAAGTAGAAATTTTGTTTTAGAATTTTTCATTTTTGCATTCTTGTGTACTAAATTACTTACCGATAAGTCTTGATTCGATGAACCAATTGTGAACCGCCGTATTGCAGTGCTAAAGTATCGCCATGATCCTCGTAGAGTTCCTCTAGCATTCTCACACAATCGGAATCGAATTCCAATTTTGGTGTTTGTAAGATTCCTAAAGCACACAATTGATAGCCAAGGGCACATTTTCCGATTGCAAATTGTGCTGTATTCGTTCTATCCAAACAATCGACGCAATTAGTTCTTATTATTCCTGTCTGCAGTGCTCCACCCCATGCAAAGCAATCTCTAACTTTATCATTTAAACTCGTCGATTCTTTCGAATTATCATAATTTCCTTGTGTCATTTTCACATGATCATAATTTAAATGAGTAACAAATGGCTGTTTACTACTCCAATCATTTGATAATTTTGTATCATTCAATACAGATGAGCACATTGATGTTGATTCCGTTTTGTGCATTTTTTTTGGATTATTGGCAAAATTACGAATATTTCGTTGATTATAAAATGTTTTGTGCGATTGGAATATACCAGTTTTTAAAACAGCATTATTTGCAATGTTTGCCAGACGACCCATCACGTTGGCCTCTTTCCTAAAAATTTGAAAATCGAATGTATTATTATACATTTTTAATCATTTTTAAAATTTAACAATTGATTTTTATACCCTTTATTTTTTCTCGCCATATCGAAACTAATATATTGAATATGATGTTCCGGTGATAGGAATTGATTGAGATATTTCACAGCCGTACTTAATTCTTCACTCAAAGTGCTCTCGTGTTTCTTCTTTTCCCGCTTTTTAACAAGATTCAGTATGATAATCGGCGATCCATAACGTTTCAATAGTTGATTAAAATGTGCACCTGAAAAATAGGGAAATGAAAATTTTCCTTTGTAAATTTTTATTGTTGATTTAACATACCAGCAGTTTCAGCAAATGGATCGGCTAAATCACAAGTTATTGTTGGTTTTGGAACCATTTTACTGACGTCTTGACTCCAATGACTTGGTACAGATCCACGCATTTGAACAAAAGAACTAAATCTTCCATTACTTAGACAACTGACACATGAATCGTGAACTATTTGCTCGGTCTCTACTTCATTAGCCACATCTCCCTTGAAAAAAGTAATGTTTCATTTTATGAAAATCTATCTTCTTTTATTCTTTAAGAAGATTAAAAAAAGGATTTTTTCATTTTCCTTTTAAAATTATTACATCAAAATTTGACCCTCGCTTTAAGAATCTCGTGCCTGCGTATTTATTACTTCTTCTTGCGATTATTGTTATGTACAATGATCTACCAAAAACACTGACATTAGACTGACCGATAAATCCATGAATCACGTATAAAATCCAATCTCTATGTAATTCTCTTTCAACTGGTGAGAGTAAATGCGAATTCCATACAAAACGTCGATGTGGATTACTTCTAACTCCATAATCGATATATCTTTCTCCATAACTTCAGAAAAGAAGAAGAAAGAAAAACAGAAAGTTCCATTAATTTTATTATCGAGATTCAATATGGGAAAAGACATTTAAAGTGAAAGCACCTTTGGGTTAAAATCAGACTTCGTACTCATCTATACTAAAATCAGCCTTCGCATTCGATAATTAATTTTAAAAAAATAGCTATCGAAAAATTAAACTTGACTCAATTTTTTTATAATATCTTAATTACACTCAAAAATAGAATAATTTTTTATAATAAATATTTAAATACCTGTTTATTTCGTCTACAGGAATTAAAATATTTCAAAATGATTTCAACCCAGTAAAAAAAAAGTATTGGAAGAGAGCGAATAGCATTGGCGGTGAGTTTCTGCCAATACGTTTTCGCGTGAAAACCGTATTGGGGGCATTCTGCCAATCCTGCTTTTTCACCGTCAATCCCGTCCTCTTGAATCTTTCGCTTTTACGTTTATTGACTCGATTTGGCATTTTAATCAAAAAGACTAATTGATTTAATGTGTAAAAATGCTGATAACGAACAGGAAATATAAAATTTTGTTAAAATGTAAATAAATGAAATGTGACAAACTGTTGGTCTATTACCATATGATTTAGGGTATTTTCTAGATAAGCGCTGTGACTTATACTCACAGGGCCCCTAGTGCGAACGTCGAAAGCTCACTAAATCATGTGGTAATAGATCAACAGTACATACTCAAGTCGAGTCAATGAACGTGAAATCGAAAGATTCAAGAGGACAGTATTGACGGTGAAAAAGCAGGATTGGAAGAATGCCCCCAATACGGTTTTCACGCGAAAACGTATTGGCAGAAACTCACCGCCAATGCTATTCGCTCTCTTCCAATACTTTTTTTTTACTGGGAATCTAACGCATTTTTAAAATTTAACTATTTCTAAAAATTACAAAAGTAATTCTTTCAAAATTGAATCATTGTTTTGTTGAAATTTATAAATAAAATTATTCAAAACTTTAATCATTTTATTTTATTCAATTCTAAATCAATTCTTATTAGAAAGAGCTACGAAAATTCAATTATTTAAATACAAAAATTAATAATTTATTGAATAATTTAATATTTCTTAAATTTGAATTCTTATAAAGAACTTTATCAACATTCTTTAAAATAATTGAATTTTTACGAAGAAATGCATTAAAATTTTTGATAATAATTAAATTCATTCAAGAAATGAAAATTGTGTTGTAAATAATTGAATTTCTTTGAAAATTATATATTATTTTATATGAAAATAATTGAATTCTTTCAAAGAATTTTATTAAAAATTTTAAGATTAGTTGCATTTTTCGCAGAATTTATTTAAAATTATATAATAAAATTGTTTATATTGTGGCCTTGGGTCCAAAAGATTTAAAATAGTTGTTAAAAATCAGCAATTATTACTTTATTTCATCGAATGCATTTTCACTGTGAACACAGCTCATCAGGACTACAGAAAAAATATAAAAAAGTTGTGTAAATAGAAAATACGAATTCAAGAGCAACATTGTGTGTGGATTAGACTTACCACATTGTTCAATGATACAAATTTATAAAAATTTTAAAAATTTAAATTAGAAAAGTTTTTTTAAGGCCAACATAACCTCAAAGTCGAGACCTGTCAAAAAATGGAATAAAATTTGTTTAGATTTAATATTTGGAAAGATTTGCCTATCTTTACAAGCGTATAGAAAAACCTTCGCTTATTCTTAAGTTTTTCCAAAAGAAAATTATTTTTTATCCATTTCTTAACAAGTAGTATAACGTAGAGTAACATCATGGTTTCTACAACAACTTGAGAGCTGACAAAGGCCTCCAGATGACTTTACTTGTTAAGAAATGGATAAAAAATAATTTTCTTTTGGAAAAACTTAAGAATAAGCGAAGGTTTTTCTATACTTGTAAAGATAGGCAAATCTTTCCAAATATTAAATCCAAACAAATTTTATTCCATTTTTTGACAGGTCTCGACTTTGAGGTTATGTTGGCCTTAAAAAAACTTTTCTAATTTAAATTTTTAAAATTTTTATAAATTTGTATCATTGAACAATGTGGTAAGTCTAATCCACACACAATATTGCTCTTGAATTCGTATTTTCTATTTACACAACTTTTTTATATTTTTTCTGTAGTCCTGATGAGCTGTGTTCACAGTGAAAATGCATTCGATGAAATAAAGTAATAATTGCTGATTTTTAACAACTTTTTTAAATCTTTTGGACCCAAGGCCACAATATAAACAATTTTATAAAATTAAGGTCCTGAAAACACTCTACGTTTTAAAATTGTATTAAAAATAATTGAAAACCTGCGATGAGTTTTAAAATTTATAAAAATAATTGGATTCTTGCAACGATTATTATTAAAATTTTAAAAAATAATTGAATTCCCGCGATGAATTTTATTATTTATGAAATTAATTGAATTTTTGCAAAGAATTTTATTCAAATTTTTAAAAAATTAATGAATTCCTGAAAATAATTGTATTATTTTTAAAAATAATTGAATTCTTGGGAAGTTTATTAATTTTTTTTAAATAATTGAATTCTTGATAAATTATTCTGGCGAATAATTTTATTATCCGTGAAGATAATTGAATTTTTCTGAAGAATTTCATTAAAAACTACTTTTTGGTATTTCTTTTAAAATTAATTATAGAGAACGAAACCTGGTTAAAGTGGTTCAAGCACAGTGAGTACACGGAAAAAAAATTTTCAGGAAAGGCTCCCGAACTGCACGTGAACGGTGGATTTGAGAAAAAGTTGAGATCTATTCCTGCAATGTACTAAAGAAATTCCCGAACTTTTCAGAAATCTCCCGTGAACAGCAGGAGCCATTCTCGAAGTTCACGGCAGATTTCTGAAAAGTTTGGGAATTTCTTTAGTACATTGCAGGAGTAGACCTCAACTTTTTCTCAAATCCACTGTTCAGGTACAGTTCGGGAACCTTTCCTAAAAAATTTTTTCCGTGTATACTTACCCATTTTTTTGCCAACTCTTTCTGCAACTCCACATATTGTAGAAATCATCGAAACTTTCAATGTTGTCGTCATTCTTTTTGTTGTCGATTTTCTCATCAGGAATGTCGAGTTTAATATGCTTTGGTGGTGCCATATTTGATTGTAAAGTGTGAGTTAAATCGTAGGAATAGCTGAAGTAAAAATTACTACTGAGATCGATGCTCTGAAACATTTTCACGTAACGTTGCTCATCGGGATGAAATATTCGTACAGAATCATTTGGTATGTATATCATGGAAGTATCCTCGATTTTGTAAATAGTATGATGTCCAATTACACCAACTTTACGACGTTTAGTGACCAAAATTATATAATAGCCCTCCAAGAATCGAACAAAACCTTAAGAAATAGTAAACATGTATTTTCCTTAAAGGGATGTAAAAGTCAATGCGATTTTTTTATTGAAGCTCTGTGTAAAAAATGCATCGACTTTGACATCCCCCTAAATATCATCAAAAATCTATATATTCTTAGATTCAAATTAAAATACTCAAACACATGCTTTTAGTTTATATACAATAAAAAAAAGAAATTCCAAAAAGAAAATTATTTTGCATTCTTTCATGCATATAATTACATCCATAGAAATTACAATATTGAAAAAGCAAACAAATAAACCTTACCAAGAAGGCCAAAAGCTGATACTAGTCTCGGAAAAATATCCTTCTTCCAATTAAATTTCCAGCTGAATTTAGTTTGGGTTGGTTTGTGCTTTTGTTTTTGTTGCTTAGGCTCCTCAATGTTTTTCTCCGAGGAATTTTTTTCATTACTTTTGCCTTCGTTTTAGTAAATATTTATAAAGTAAAACAAATAATATTGTGTAATTTTTTAAATTTCTTTAATGAATTTTAAACAAAAATATACGAAAAAACCGAGCATTATTTTTGCTTTGAAATTTCAAAGAGGAGCCTAAGAAAATGACAATGAAATATCAAATAATTAAAATATTTAAATTCAATCTATAAAAAATATAAATTACATGCATTTAATTTACTCTTCATGCACTAAACATTAAAATCATGCGTTAATATTGTGAATTTTTTTTAATAATACCAATTACAGATAAATTTGTGTTTAATTATTTAAAATTTGAGTTATAAAATATAAAATGCTGATTAAATAATTCAGCATGCAAACATTCCACTTGCAAAAAATTGTCTATAAAACCAAAAGCCTTTACTGTCAAAAAAGACGTCACTATTTAAAAAACGGTAAAAACTTCTAAGTGCACTATATGTAGATTAGGTGGAAAATTATTGAATATATATTTTAAATAAAGAAGGGAAATTTCATCTTTATGCGATCAAATTGATAAAATATTTATATCCGTTCAATAATTTTCTATGAGAAAATTTATTTATTTTTTGTTCTTTTACCAACAATTCCAAATGCTGAAACAACTCGAGCAACACCTCCAGTGCTTCCTCGTTTTTCACGATTTCGATTACCCATATCTATCATATTCACTAAGTCTCTAATTTCTTCTTGTGTATATTCTATTTTGTCATCGGTGACAATTAATTCCCTTGGCTCAAGACGATCAATTTTAAGGACCCGAAATCTTGTCAATAAATTATTAGATCCCATCAAATAAAAACGCTTAAAAAGAAAATTTATTGTAAGTATTTTCATTATTAGAAGAATAATTAATATTGACAGAATATTCAAAACATATAAATAAATAAAATAACATAAATTAACTTACAGACTTTGTTTCATAAAGAGCAATTTTTTGAATTGACGAAATTATAGGATGAAAAATTATATTTTGCCTTTCTGCTCCAATTTTTGATTCCATGTTGATTATAGATGTAATATATTATAGTATATTTGAAAAATAATATCTATATTTAGTTAGTTTTTCTATCTTCTTCTTCTTCTTCTTATGACTTTTGTATACAAAGTATACAAGGTGTCTTCTTCTTCTTCTTTGTTTTTTATGGCTTCGAGTTAATCAGGTCAATTCTTGATAAGTAAAATACTGGCGTAGTTGTATATATTGAAAATTTTTAATTGAAATATTGTGTTGGTTGATGCACTTTGAGTAGACTGTACAACCCGTTTGTATGATGGTTTCAACAGTTTCAGCCATGATCCAAGTAACAAGGTCTCGCCAAAGTCGGGCTCAATTTTAACTCGGTTCGCGCACCATAAAAAAGCCGACCAATCATAGCGATTACCTGAAGCGACGACCATATTGAAGCGCTAAATTTTGAATCAAATACAGAAACAAATTTAAAGAACATAAAGAATAATAAATTAAAAGTAAAATAATTCTTTATTAAATATTAATATTTTTTATTAAATACTTATTATTAACTTGATACATAACATTCACATATATTGGTTGCTTGGAATCTTGAAAATCAAATTACTATTTATTGCAATATTTATTATTATTATTAATAACTTTATATTTATTAATATTAACAATAATTAAAAATAATAATTATTATTAAAAATAAAATAACATTCATAATAATTTATTAATATTAATTACTATTTATTGTAATATTTATTATTATTATTATCAATAATTTTATACGTATTAATATTAATAATAACAATTAATAATATTTATTATTAAAAATAAAAATATATTAATAACAATAACAATCTTATTTTCTGGATTTGAAACACATTTAAAAATACGCGGCTAGACTTTCAATATGGTCGTCACTTCGTCCGCATTCTGATTGGTGCTTGGTTCCACGTTTTTTTTGCCTGCGCGTGGCGAGACCTTGTTACTTGGATCATGGTTTCAGCTCTTGTATATAGTCGGTGTTACGTGCGGAGTTACGTTATTTACGCGCAGGCGTAAGATCCGCGATTTGATTTGATGTTCAATCTTGGTTTAATCCTTTGAAAAGGAAGGCGGAAATATTCAAATAAAACAAGTTAATTTTCGTTAAAACGGAGGGAAAAACCTCACGAATAAGAAGGATCAATTAATAATTAATAATATTAATTAATCATTAATCCAACTGAATTCGCGAGTAAACCCAATATATTTATTAAAGTCAAAAACATTACACAAGTCGAAGTTATTCTTAAACTATTTTTGGGACTACTCTGAAGTACATTACGAAAGAACTCCAAAGTAGAACTGAATTCGTGAGGGAGCATTTATCCCTTGGTCCATGGGATCTTTGCGCATGCCCTGTTATAGAGTTTGTAAAGTCTATGAAGTTTTTAGAATCACAACACTAACACTGCACTGCACTAATACACGTATAAACATACTCTATGTATTGAAAACATGTATCACAACCACCCCAGTCCGACTCCTATGTATTTTGAAGGAAAAATATGTCAGCTTAGTGGTTTGCGTTTTCATGTGCCAAAAAGTAACACGTGATGGCGCTGTTCTCAACACTCGCTCAAAATTCACTAAAGCAATAGAAAAATATCATAGAAACGAATAAATTATTTGTTTTTATAATGAAATCTTGTTGTTAGTGATGTTAAAAATACACGATAAGAAATAATATTGTATTTTTAACTCATAAAAGATGATAGAACAATTGAATAATTAGTATGAAAATACATAAATGTGTTGTACAATAAACTGATGACTTTTCGTTTAAATCGTTTAAATTATCAGATAAACTGATTTATAATAAAAGTTAAAGGAAAGTCATAGAAAAAAAGTATATTTAAAATAAAGAAAACAAATTTAGAAAATATAAATAGCATTAACCCTCCGTCACACACATGAGAAAATATTCCGACCTTACACACGTTCAGAGGGAATCGCTCACCACATTGTAAAATAAGCAACATTACAACATAAACAAAGGAATCAACAAAAATTTAGTTTTAACACAAACTTACAAATATGTAGTAAATTATTCTAAATTATAAAATTAATCAAATTAATTTTCGGTCTCAAAAATAAAAATTAATTACATGAATGCACATCTTCAAAGAAATTCCACTCGACATGTAAAAATAATGTAACATTAACAAATAAGCAAAAAAATCATTAAACAATTTATTTTAATTATATTTATAATATAATTTTGTCATCAACCAACAGTGGAACAAAAAATGTTTTTAAAACTTGATTTTTTTATTTAACATAACCTCACTTTTTCGAGTTTCTTCTGGCTTTGAAGCTTCATAATTAAATATTAATTATGTTTAAACTAAATGTTTTTTTTGGAATGTGTTAAGGAGTAAATTGTCGAAAGGTATAGAAACTGATTTTATTTTGCAATGAGGAAAACAAAAGTTATTTAAAAAATACTGAAACCGTAGAGGGAATCCCTCCCTAGGTGTGTGACGGAGGGTTAACTTTAATCCATTTTTTTTATTTATTATTTGAGATGAAATTTTACTCAAGACAAAAACAAACATGAACGTATACAATGAATAAAAAATATAATATTAAATAAAAATTTAAAAGTTTTAAACTTTTTTTAAAATTTTTAAACTAAGGCAAGCTTTGCCGGCTACTTATTAAAAACATTTACACTTTTTAAACAATATGCTCTTTTTACAACATTAAAATAGTTTTTAATGTTAATACTTTTTTTACTTTCACATTTTTTTTTTATAAAATTTAGTTGAGATTTCTAACCGATTTCAACACAACAAATACAATAATGAATGAGGTAACGAATATTGCTGACGAGTAGTGAGTACTGCGCCATCTCGAGGAACTTTTTTGCACATTAAAGTGCAAACCACTAAGCTGACTACTTTCTGGGAAAGACGGACAGGGGTGACACAGGAGAACCAACTCGCCTGCTTGTTCATAGAGTGCAGTGGTCCCGATTTTAACGTACGACAGGGTGTACTACCCCAAGGCGCACTAGTCTTCTGCACATCCCAACACATGCATAACTGTATAAACTCTATCTGTGTATCTTTAGATAATGTGTGTTTGTTTTGTTTACAATTTTCTTGGTTATGTGCAAGTTCTGTGACAGTTGATTTTGAAAATATGTAGAGTTTATATCTTTAGAAATATTTGTGCTTCATTTCATCTTCATTAGTTTTTATAATTTATAAATCCCTTTTAAAATTTAAGTTAAGTTAGTTTAGTTGGAAAAATTCCTCTTTTGGAGGTTATGGTTAACCTCAAATACAATGCTATAACAGAAATAAATATAATTGCAGCAATAATAAATATATAATAAATTATATATTATAATAGGAGCGATAATAATTTATAATATAACATGCCCTTTTTTTATTGTAAGATAAAAAATGGTTATGAAAATCCCATTACAACTTTTATTATTTAAATTAGCACTCTTCATCAAGACGAATCATAATTAAAAACACTAGTGTTAAATACACTTCTTACTTTTTTTTAGAAATTTTTGTATTAAAAATATTAAGTTCACTTAATATTTACACTTATTATTCAATATGAAGGAGATAATAAAAACTTGCAGCTGTTACAGCTGTCAGATGGAATATATATATATAAAATATACACAGTTATGCATGTGTTGGGATGTGCAGAACACTAGTGCGCCTCGGGGTAGTACGCCCAGTCGTACGTTAAAATCGGGACCATCGGAAATACTCGAGTTGTTCCTCCTGTATATAGTCTTCTTGGTGACGCGACACGAGAAAAGGGACCTATCGCCGCAAAAGAGAATTTTACAGGGAGAGCGTTTAAAGCGACGCCATGCGCAGAAAACCCGTGTATTTACGCGTACATGCTTAACTTTCGGGCTTTATATTATTAAAACTATTTAAGTATTTCAACTTTTGATTTTTTCACGTGAAAGAGCAAAGAATAATCTGTCGAATAGCACCATAATCTCAAAATCGATTTTTTTAACGATACCCAGTAAACGAAAACTAATTGAAATGAATTAAAAAGAATTCACAAAGAGCTTTCGTGAATCCCGCTTTGTGACAAATACGAATTGGAGCCATGATGCAATTTTCCTGAATTCGTGAAACTGTATTGAACTTCCGAACCTTCTATCCGTACCAATTCACTGGACAAGTTTTGAGCCTTTAATTTTTTTTCAATTCGTTAGCACGAATTCAATGCATTCCTTGGCCATTTCTTTCGAATGCGAATTCGTTTGGACAAATTGGTACATATTGAATTAAATTCAATTGAATATACAAAGAGCTTGAGTGAATCCCGCTTTGTGACAAATACGAATTGGAGCCTACCAAAAATGTTAATTCGTTTCAATTCATTTGAATTAGTTTTTTTTTACTGGGTAGGTCCTTTTTCTCGTGTCGCGTCACATATACAGGAGAACCAACTCGCCTGCTTGTACATAGAAGTTGAAGGCCTAAGCACAATAGTTTCGCGAAAGTCGTTCGCGAACACAAAGCATGAGTTAAAAAATAACAGAGATATATTTGTGTCTTTTTCTATCTCATGCATCTCGTTCGCGAACGACTTTCGCGAACCTATTGTGCGTTGGACTTTAACGAATTTCAGCTAGCCTAAAGTCGGTTCTACAATGAGCACGGTTGTTCGTGTTCGCTGTCGTGAACACTGTAAAAAAATCTGGTGTAAAATAACACGAAACTTGTAATTTCACACATCAAAATTATAGGTTGTACGTAGTAAATTTATTTCGTTCCAAAAGTAGTTTTACTATTTTTAATAATTTTACATTATACGACTATGTAATTTAATAGTTTTGTGTAAATTTACTACGTCCGACGTAGGAAAATTTGATCACTATGTCCGACGTGGTATTTTTACATTGCGTGTATTTCTACACTTTGACGTAATATTACGTCGCACGATCTGTACAATTACATGGCGAATGTAATTTTCTTATTCCTTTAAGATTTTCAAAAAATTTTCAAGTTTTTATAAATAACTCTAAAAAAGTGTATATAATGTACATTTATAGAAAGTATATGCTAATTTATAAGTAAATAATAATATAACAAAAAGTTTTGGGCTATATTTCATAAATACAAAAAGTTACGACTGAAAATATTATTTCAAAAAATATTTGCAGGTTATGTAGATTACAGTCGGCGTGTAAAAATACCACGTCGGACATAGTGACCAAACTTTCCAACGTCGGACATAGTAAATTTACAGCAGATTTTTTTACAGTGAACGTGTACGCGTTCCATATAGTTTAGCGTGGAGCACGTACACGTTCACGATAGCGAACACGAACAACCGTGCTCATTGTAGAACCGACTTAAAGGCCTAAGCACAATAGGTTCGCGAAAGTCGTTCGCGAACGCAAAGCATGAGTTAGAAAAGGACAGAGATATATTTGTGTCCTTGTCTATCTCATGCGTCTCGTTCGCGAACGACTTTCGCGAACCTATTGTGCGTTGAACTTTATTGGAGACTCCAAGAGCAGTCGCAGTGTTGTCAAGTTAAGGCCAACGCAGAATAGATCTGTAACCGGAACCGCAATCGTAAGCGTAACCGTAAGAATGAGTTAAAGAAGGATAGGTATATTGTTTATCCTTCTCTAACTCATTCTTACGCTTACGGTTACGATTGCGGTTCCGGTTACAGATCTATTCTGCGTTGGCCTTTAGTGGTTTTTCCACTAAATTTAGTGAGATTTTGGCCCTTTAGTGGCAATTTTAAGGCCAACGCAGAATAGATCTGTAACCGGAACCGCAATCGTAAGCGTAACCGTAAGAATGAGTTAAAGAAGGATAGGTATATTGTTTATCCTTCTCTAACTCATTCTTACGCTTACGGTTACAGATCTATTCTGCGTTGGCCTTTAGTGGGAGGATTATTTTAGTAGAAAAATTAGTATATTTTTTTTGTTTAGTGGATTTTTTAGTATTTTTTACCTAAAAGTAATTTTATATTTTCTCACTCATAATCTAGTTACAAAACGCACTTTAAGCATGTTTTTATAATATTCAAATCATAAATAAATTTTACTTAAAATTAATAAATGTTTGAAATTTTTTAAAAATATCTTTAACTATAGTAGTAAATTGTTATATGTGTAACGTCCTGTAACGATGACGTCACTTTTAAAATATTTCGAATTTCTATATTTTATACAAAAACATATTTTTTCAGAAAAATATCTAAACTGAGAGAAGATAGTTGTAAGGGTGCGATCCCATGTGAGCAGAATACGTCGACCGAAAGCAGAAAATTATGAGAGTGAAAAGAACAACAATATCTACCTATCTCTTTTGCACTCATGATTTTCTGCTTTCGGTCGACGTATTCTGCTCACATGGGATCGCACCCTAAGCCTAAAAATCAATCCTTTTCTTAAAAAAGAGAGTTCGAGTTGAAATCGAAATATCGAAGAACTCGAAAGGTGGAACCACACGGACACGGACACACACAAGCAAGCCTGTCACAACACAACACATACATTTTTATTCACAAACACAAAACACATATATAAGTGATAACAATATTTAATATATAATCATAATTGACATGACATCATGATTGTTAACTATTAGAAGTTTTAATTTATTTAAAAAAATATATATAATACATTTTTAGAAACACAAAATAGGTTAGCTGTCAAATTGTGTGTATATATATATTAAAGCTAGGTCGGGGCCGACCACCCCGGTCGTTTGGAGCTGTCATGGATACTAAAAGAAACCTAACCTAATTGTTGAATATGATAATAATTTTTAATTAATTATGATGAATAGTAATTAAGTATGAGAATTATCCTTTCTTAAAAAAGACATGGCATAAGAACACCACACAAACAAAAAGAATTTCTGTTGTTTTGGTAGCTTAAAATTATATTAAAACAAAAAAAACATATTTATTATATACGCGTTTATACAAGGAAAAAAAAAGTTCACGAATCTCTCGTGAACTAGTATATCACTTTTGGATGGGACACAAAATTTCAAAATTTTCATTCACTTTTGATTAGAAATGGCGAACGTCAACGAAAAACTGAAACAAAATTAATGAATTTTTGATGAACTGTTAATGAAGAGTAGTTCGTCAAAAGTAGAGGTACAAGTTCAGTGGTGCCAGACGGCGGACGCAAACGGCCCCCACTCTCGCGGCAAACTTACTCCTTCCATTACACTGTAAAAAAGACCAATGTTGAATTACAATCGGGTCGTTAATTTTAAATTTTCCAGTTTGTAATTTTACTACGGTACACGTAATAATTTAACACCCATATAGTATTTTCACAATTAAAAAGTAAAATTATTACGCTTATCGTTGTAAATGTGTCACGCGTTAGTAAATGTACATCCCGAATGTTTAATCATTTCGTGATACATTGGAAACTTTTCGCTTCACGTATAACGTTGTATGTTAGCAACCCAACCGTAAAAATATTTTCGTGTGTTAAGTAACTTACAGCTGATAGTTTTACCGACAGTATGTAGAATTATGTAGCTGTCTGTAAGTATACATTCGAATATGATATTTTTTGCCCGAATGTTTTTCTACACTGCGTGACGATGAAGTGGCATATAAGAAACTATGCGCATAGGCAAACGTTAATATTTTAATTTTAATTTATTAAAATTTCGACAATTTTAAGAATTTAAAGATTAAAGGAAATTTGTAAAGGTAAGTTCAAATTCTTAACATTTTTCATTTCTTAAATTTGAAAGATTTCTTTTTAATTTTTCATATATATCAAAGTTAATAAGGTAATGTCTTTTAACCTAAAAAGAGACACGTTTTTAATGATTTTTTATACTTAAAAAATTTTATTCAACTGTGTGAATTTTCTGTATGAAAATAATTTTCAAACATAAAAAATTTTTTCAGAATATCTTCATGGACTCTATTGCTTAAGCAGCTCGTATTTTTTTAAAATTAAAGTGGAAAAAGTATTTGTTTTTCCTGTTCTGTTGGAGAATTCGTTAACTTTGTACAAATGACAAAAAAGCTACAAATGTGATTTGTATATTATAAATATTTAATATATTTATTTATTTCTTACGTTTTTCCTTTATTTCCTTTTTATAATTTAACCTTTATGTAATACAAAATAAATATAAAAAAAAGAATAATTTTAAAATGCAGCGAAATTATTATGTAAAATTACCGACGAGTGGTCGATTTACAATTTGATGCGAAATCACATAAGAGAGGTTATGTTACGAACGGTAAGTAAGTTAACATTCGGGCTGTAATAGTACTACGTCATACGTGAAGCGAAAAGTTTCCAACGTTACACGTTGTAAATTTACATTGGGCTTTTTTACAGTGTATGTTCCATATGACCACACACACTATCATACGCCTGGCTTTTGCTATCGTCGGTGAGCCTCTTTTTCGTTTTTCTCTGATTTCGCTGATTTCTACAGAAATCCGGCGCGAAATTTGAAAATCATGCTTCTCTCAGAAGTATTGTTTCTAAGTTTATTATTAAAAACTCAATATTTACCATGCAATAAATTCATAATTTATTATCAATTACATAATTGAGTATTAAATTGTTCACATATTACTGAATATTTTTTTAGTAATTATAATGTTTTTCATTCTTAACTAATCTTTGTTGATTATTTTTAAAATTTATAATTAATTAAAACAATAAAAATATAATCTATCTAAATTTGAATAAGTTAAAAATATCTATTTTGATAGTAAAAATTCAGTCAATGCTTCAAATAGTAATATTTTACTAATGAAATAGTTAATGGTATATAATTAATTATTAGTTAAATTCACTTTTCAGGTTATGTAAAAATAACTGCTATTCTTGGTAACAAATTCAATTTAATTAATTAATTAATTTAATTGAATTTTGAATTTTCATTAATTTATTTACTAATAATTAGTTATTTTTGCTAATTTCTGAACCAAAAAGTCATAGTTACGATTTTACTAATAATACAGGTTATATAATTTGAGATAATAATATATTTTACAATTTAAACCAACATTTAACGAAATAAATTTGTATGTTTAGTTAATAGTTAGTAACATATATAATTGTTTATTGTATTGAAAATACACCCGAGGCGCGGCTCTCTCCGTTTTTGCAATAATTTTGCCGAAACTTTCGCCAAAAATCCAACTTTTGTAATTTCGTTTTTCAATATTTATTTAAAAAATTACTTGCAATTTTCGAGAATATTCTTTATCATCATGAATTCCCCTAACTTTCATGATAAATCTGAACTAAATATCTCTAATTATTTAGGAGTGAGTTAAGGGGCGATTTTTCCCGGATGCCCGAAAAAAAATTTTTGAATTCAAGTTTTGAAAAATATATATCTTCGATTTGAAATTTTTTTTTGTTAATATTGTCAATAAAGTAAAGAATACTTTCTATACTTTACACCATTGTTTAAACATTTTTTTTTAATTTTCAATTGAATGTATATAGAAAAAATTAGAAATTTCTAATTTAAATTTAAATTTAAATTTCTAATTTCTAGAAATTTCTAACCCAAATCAAACTTATTAAAAAATCGAATTTATATTTTTTTCAAAATTTGAATTGAAAAAAAAATGCTTTTTTTTATTTTAATTTTTTTAAAGTACTTTTTATTATGAGTATTTTCCGAATAAAATTATCTTAATCGGTTAACAAGAAAAAAAGTTATGTGCCTTTCTTAAAAACCGACCAAAATTTTGAGTAAGAGGTAACTCAAAAAATGTTGAAAAAACTTTTATACACTTTTTCCATGTATAAAAAAAACAAATTCTGAAATATTATTTTGTAATATAAATTAATATTTTATTCATTGCAATTTAATAAAACATTTAATAAATGTACAAAAAAACATTATAAAATGCTTAATGTAAAAGTAATTTTTTAGTTTATGTAAATAAAAAAATACGTAAATTTTTTTAATAGTGTGCCTTGTTGTTCTTTAAATTAACGTAATTTTATTTCGCTATACGTTTTTAAATTCTTTCTACACAGCAATTGAGGAAAAATTTAATTTTTCTTTTTAATTAATTTAAATTAATGCAATAAAAGCTAAAAGACAGTTATAAAAAGGAACTTCTAAATTTTCAGTTTATATTTGATAAACAAAAATAATATATAATATTTTGTTTTTAATAATTTTTTTTAATATTAGTTCAAATGTATTTTCAATACAATAAACAATTATATATATTACTAACTATTAACTAAACATACAAATTAATTTCGTTAAATGTTGGTTTAAGTTGTAAAATATATTATTATTTCAAATTATATAACCTGTATTATTAGTAAAATCGTAGCTATGACTTTTTGGTTCAGAAATTAGCAAAAATAACTAATTATTAGTGAATAAATAACTACAAAAAAATACACTGTAAGAAATCCATATTGAATATTCCATGTAATATGTGTAAAACTTTAATAGGAACGACGTATGAAAATAACAGAATTAATGAAATTTAAATGGTCAGTCCATGTAACTTTCAAGCATTTATTGAATTTTCATACGAGTGTCGATTGACATAAAATTACAACGGAACCACGTATGAATTTTCATATTCTTCTTGGAATTTTCAATGGACAACCATAAATGAAATTTCACTCGGTAGTCTGTGGAAATTTACCGGGAGTGTTGAAAGTTCAACATATTTGTTTAATTTTATTTCACTTAAAAATTTTATTTCGAAAAAAGATATTATTCTATTTTAAACATAGATATTATTAACTTTATTATAAAAAAGTATTCATTTTTATAACTTAAACACTTTCCAACAATTATGTAAAAAAATCAATAGATATATTATAAATGTGCAAGAAAAAAAATGAATAAAATAAATTTTAAGGTTATGTTGAGCACATAGTTTTCTGTTGAATTTCCATGTCAAATGGGAATTTTATAATCAAAAATGTAAAATTCATCCGAGGGTCCGTTGTAATTTTATGTCAATCGGTGTACGATTGAAATTTCAATAAGGATTTTTTACAGTGTAGGCAAGTTTCATTAATTGAATTTGTTACCAAGAATAGCAGTTATTTTTACATAACCTGAAAAGTGAATTTAACTAATAATTAATTATATACCATTAACTATTTCATTAGTAAAATATTACTATTTGAAGCAATGACTGAATTTTTACTATCAAAATAGATATTTTTAACTTATTCAAATTTAGATAGATTATATTTTTATTGTTTTAATTAATTATAAATTTTAAAAATAATCAACAAAGATTAGTTAAGAATGAAAAACATTATAATTACTAAAAAAATATTCAGTAATATGTGAACAATTTAATACTCAATTATGTAATTAATAATAAATTATGAATTTATTGCATGGTAAATATTGAGTTTTTAATAATAAACTTAGAAACAATACTTCTGAGAGAAGCATGATTTTCAAATTTCGCGCCGGATTTCTGTAGAAATCAGCGAAATCAGAGAAAAACGAAAAAGAGGCTCACCGACGATAGCAAAAGCCAGGCGTATGATAGTGTGTGTGGTCATATGGAACATATGGAAGGAGTAAGTTTGCCGCGAGAGTGGGGGCCGTTTGCGTCCGCCGTCTGGCACCACTGATTCGTACGTTCTACTGTATGTACATATATATATATATATTTTTATGCATATAACATGTATTTCATTTATTTTAATTCTGGTAGTTAATAAGTTTAAAATTTTACTTATAATAAAATCTGTATAATATATATATATATATATATATATATATATATATATATATATATATATATATATATATATATATGCATTTACACATACACACACATATACATACCATATAGTCATTGTTGTTGTTTCGTAAAAAAATTACGAATTCTATAAAGTTATAAAGTAATAATCTTTTATTTATTAATATTTATCGATATGGTTTATTTCTCGTGTAGGTTCCAATTTTTAAATAAAATAATTTTCGATATTTTTAATTAAATATGGGCGTAACACTCATAAAAACGGGTTTTGAGATTACAAAAAGAAAAGCATGTATAAGTGAAGATAATAAGAAAGAAATTAACGTTTTTTTTCTTTTTCAGTTTAAATTTTATAACCCAATTGAGAATAGTCAAAAAAAGTAATACCCTAGATAGAGAAAAGTTAATGTAAGTCGTATTAATAATAATAAAAAATAAATGCATGTAATAAAGAAAAATAAAATTTAAGATTGATATGTAATAGGGAGAAACTATTTTATAATAATAAAAAATAAATGCATGTAATAAAGAAAAATAAAATTTAAGATTGATATGTAATAGGGAGAAACTTTACAAATTCCTTTTTCCTATTATGTTTTATAAAACTTTTTTCTTAAAGTTACTACGACTTTAAGGATAACATTCTCATGACATATTTTTGTTTGCTGATGATTGCGAGATTTGTTTGAGGTTTGCTGAATTTTCATCTATAATAGATTTACATGAAAAAGTTACTTCAATTTTTAAAAAAGTTTCACGCTAAACATTAATTAAACTGGGACAAGTAAACCTTTACACAATTTTCTTTAAAATTTGAAAATAAATAATTAAGATTTTTATCAATTTCAGTATCTAGGAGTTTTTCGGGTCGCTAAATTCGAATTTGACCTTCATTTTTAAAAATTCAAAATGGCAGATCCAAAATGGTGGACATAATTTTTAAAATTCATTTGGATTTTTATCAATTTCTATATCTAGGGGTATTTTGGGTCGCTGAATTTAAATTTGTCTGTTAAAATAAAAAATAGTGAATTTAAAATAGAGGACGGAATTTTTTTAATTCATTCTGATTTTTATTTAATTTTGTAATTTCTTCGTCAGAAAAATCTAATGAATTATCAGACGGAAAGAAAAACAAAGCATCAAGTTTTTATTGTAGTTTGCAATGGTGGATAAAAGATATTTTCAAAAATAACTTGTGCATTACTGGTGGGAATAACGGTCGCCTAATGCTTCTCCAACTTGTATACATGTATATCCTTGGATTGCAGGTCATTTCTCCGAATACAATTTTCCGAAAAGACAGTTTGTACACTGAAAAAAAAGTTCTGGTTAGGGTATAT